TGATGAGATGTGTGTGAGCTGGATATCATAACCAGCTTCCTTATGCAATGATGAAATGTCATAAAAAAAAATCAATCCATCCTATATATATGCGAACCTGACCTATATCTCTGAAAGGAACAGAGGCATTGATTACTTCCCTGCAGAAGGGAAGGATTGACCTCCTGCTCATGAAGTAATATTCCTGACAAGAGGACTTAATTTTTTACCTCCTGGATGCCGGCGATGAAAATCATCGTCATCCACCGCCAGCAAGCAATCTCTTTGCATCAGTTGAGAAATTGGAGTCCAGTATTACTTGGGCCACTCAGGCCCATTCTTCTTGTACAGAACCATTTTCCCGTCAAACCGGTCCCCCCGCTTGTCTCTCGTGACCTTGTGAAGGTCCTGGGTGGGTGGGAAGGGGTGGGGAGAGCTGATTCCTGGCCGGCATCAGGAGGTGGGGGGTGTAGGGGGTGGGTTGGCAGTGCAGTGGCTGAGGTTGAAGGAGGCCATGGGGGGGGCAGAGGATGTGGGCAGGGGCGGGGTTAAGGTGGCAGGTGGGGCAGTGGCGACTGTGATGGAGGGGGACCTGAAGGGGAGGGGCACTGGGGATAACAGATGTTCCAGGGAGGTTCTACCGAACGGTTTGGATTAGTACGAAGTTTGTCGGATTGTATTGTACTTCGAAGTTTTGCCTGGGTAATCGCTCCCAGTGCTCCTCAGTCGACAGCCAGTGTTGCCATTGCAGGTCGTCCTCGTGGTCCAAACGGCAAAGTCTGTTGTTTCTGTTCGTCCATAAAGAGGAGAAGGATGCTCGGATGTCCGCTTTCCTTTCTTCATCTGGTTGTCACATGGGCACAGAAGGTACAAAGGGGCTGCCTTGGTAACCACCACTTGTATTTTTGGTTTTCACTACACTACTCAACATTGGACGTGTATCTGACTGCCTGGTCAACAAGATACGGTCGGGCTGATTCAACGTTTGGAATGAATCTGAATGATTATTAGCTACAGATACATTTACAAGCTTATGCAGTGGAGCGAGGCCTTTCAACAGTGTCTTCTGCTCAAGGCTTATCACTGGTGTTTGGTACCAGGCCAGCCAGAAAGGGGAGGGGTGGAGTGGAGGAAGGGAGGGGGAGAACGGGGAAGAGGGGGCCAAGAAAGAGGAGTGGGAAGCGAGGAGAGGAAGGTAAGAACGGGAGGAGGAGGGGGAAGAGGGGCATCACAAAGAAAGTGCAGGAGAGATTGTGGAGGAGAGGTATTTTGGGGGCTTTGCATCAGCAAAGGGAGGGGTGGAGGAGAGGAAGAGTTAGGCTGGGGGCAAGGGGAATGAAGGGGGAGGTGAGGGGCTTGGTCGTGATTAGCGGCATGTTTTATACACCAAGTACTAGGCTATCAGGGGAAGTCAATCCTCACTGGAACACCAGTCCAGTTTTTTGTTTTTTACATAGCACCCGGGCTGCACCGGCCACCAACCGGTTCGACCCAGGGACCCAAGGACTCGAAAAATCAAAATAACGAAATTCTTGAGTCATTTCAATAGGCTCAGAAATCACACGTTTCTCTGAATCATCGTATCATACTTCCACATATCCACTTAAGGGAAAGTCTTTTCGTAACGGATGACCCTCAAAACCATAATCTGTTAATATACGACATAAATCAGGATGGTTGGAACAGAGCAGACGCTTCGCGGCTGCTCTATCGCCAGAGTCGCCTGGTTTAGGGCGCCGCAGCGACTCGTCGCCAAACTCACCTGACTCCCGTTTGTAACTTACGTGAAGACCACAATAAGTGTATAATACGACTCAGGCCCGCCAGGGGAGCCGCAAAGGAGTAGTAGTTGAAAATGGCACGGGTTTTTGCATTGTAAAATGCAAGTATATCTGCGTGGTCCATCAGATCCAATTTCGTACTTTGCGCAACGCTTTATGAGGCCCAGTAGAAGAGGGCAATTCATAGATAGCATCCACAATCATTTCAATGACTTGGCTAATGATGTATCTTTCTTCCAAACTCAGCGCTGACCAATGTTGAGTTTTCATATGAAGGTACTACGAGCCCTCTGCCCCATTCGAAAAGAGATTTGAATGGTTCACCGGTTCCACCGTATGCTCTCATCTTTTTCATTTTCATTCAGAGGCATGAACGAAGGAAGTGTTGGCGAGCCTCTGCCGCATTGATTTTGACAAAATCAGCAATTTGGGTAATCAACGATAAATGGTCTTTGTTTTGATACAAACAAAAAGAAGATGGCTATGTTAGAAGGTGCAAAATTAATTGGAGCGGGCTGTGCAACAATCGCATTAGCTGGAGCCGCTGTAGGTATTGGAAACGTGTTTATATGGAGTAAATCAACCAAGGGTAGCGTAAAGTAAGATAAGCGATTGATTACACAATCGAGCAAAGAAGGGAAAAAAACTTATGCTCCGTGAGGTTTCAGTAAGCTAGAGCAATCAATGAATTCMATCCCACCGGGCCATCGTCAATTTTCAATTCCCATTAGCTAAGGGTTCAATCTAGGTGGTCCAACCGTAATTCCGGTTGAGTCGAAAACTTGGTCAATCATTATTAGTATTATTTTTTTGAAATCATGGTTGGACTGCACTCGCCGAGATCTCCCCGAATCCGCAAAGAAAACTTTGAATGGAGAACGTTTTTTTTTGGCGGAGGGCCGGGGGGGGGGGGGGGTATTTTTAGGGCTTGGGCATCGGGGGTTGGGGGGGGTATGGTGGTGGAGGTGTTAGTGGCGGGGTTTGAGCAAGCACGGGCTTCCACCAACATTGACAACCACGTACCTGGCTTTCTGCAAATGTGGACAGTCCGCTGGTACAGATGATCCCGTCTCTCTCTCTCTCTCTCTCTCTCTCTCTCTCTCTCTCTCTCTCTCTCTCTCTCTCTCTCTCTCTCTCTCTCTCTCTCCAACTAACTGCCGAA